TCCCAGTGTCTCCCAGTGTCAGGTTTTCAATGGTCACTGTGAACGTGCGCAGGGTGTGATTGTCTCTGATGGAGGCTCTGTCCCACTTCACCTCGGCCTCCGACCCTGTGGTCTCAACCACTTTAGAGCAGCTCTGCCAAATTATTCCACTGCACCAATATTTTGGAGTTTCCTGATATCCTTCATGGTACTGACATGGCACAGACACTGACCTGCCCCCTAGCCCACTCACTGCCCTTGGGCCAGTCAGCTCCAGGGCCGCCAGCCCATGGAAATAACCTGAAAAACAAAATAAAGCAAAACTTGTAATCTCTGGCCTACACAGAAGGGTTGAGGATACAAGGCCACGCCTCAAGTGACTCCTCTCCCTTAGCTCAGGCTGGTCACTGTGTTCTACATCTTACTATCCCTTGCACTGGATGGCATGACACCATGCAAGGAACCATGGGAAACCTTATAAGAAATATATTTGGGGGTGGGGGTGGGGAGGGAGTCTCTGACACCCTGGAGGAGAATAAACACAATAACCAACAGTGTTAGCGCTAAAGATTCCATCAGACGGAGATCAGAATACCCACCAGCCCTGCACTTGTGGGTGTCTCTTGTCTAAAGCAGACGGAGGGAAAAGGGAAGAGAATGAATCTGAGCCCACTGGTTAAATTAACCTCTCTGGCATGAATGGATGAACATGAACCTCACACCTGGAAGTAAGAGAATCACCCCAGCACGGGGCAGCTGCATCTTCCCGACAGCTGATCCTTTCTCGCTCATTTTCTTCCAAACGCCCCAAAAAGTGAGTAGTGCTTCTGAGGTGGTGACATTTCCCTCTGGAGTTTGCAAAGCCTCCAGTGTTAATAACACCCAGACACTTCTGCTTCTTTTACTCTTAACTGATACCGTGTTTCCTTTGGCTTTGTTTTAATTTCACATCCCTCTTGTACACTTGATATAAAAAAGAAGATAAAATAAAGAGCGAGACAATGGGCAGTTTGAGACAGGAGATCTTGGAGGATAGGCGTTTTGGGTACTAGGACAGCGGTTCTCAAACTGTGGGTCTGGACCCCGAAGCGGGTCACGGGGAGCTGCAGCCAGTTCGCGTGAACCGGTTGTTACATTTTGAAGCAGTTTTAGAACCGGTTGTTAAAAATTGTTATGGCTCCCTGAGCTCCCGGCTGGGGAGGCTTCCCCCGGCCCCTCCCCTGCCTTCCCCCCTCTCGCAGAGCCTCAGTGTGCCCCGCCACCGTCACCAGCGCTCTGGGCCACTCCTGGGCCACTGGGCAGCGCCTGCCCCTTTGTGCGGCTTGGTAAGGGGGTGGGGCTGCGAGCTCCAGTGGGCCGCGTGGCATCCATACCCGCTGCCCTGAGCAGCATGGTAAGGGGGCTGGGCCAGGGCTGGGAGGAGGGATTGGATAAGGGGCAGGGAGTGGTTGGACGAGGCAGAGGTTCTGGGGGGGGGGGTGGTCAGGGGACAGGGAACGGAGGGGGGTAGGCGTGGGAGTTCCGGGGGTCTGTCGGGGTGGTGGTGGTGGATGGGGTCGGGGCAATCAGGGGACAGGGAGCGGGGCAAGTTGGGTAGGGGGGTGGGATCCTGGGGGGAAGTAACAGTAGGGGGTCTCAGGAGGGGGTGGTCAGGGGACAAGGAGCTGGGGGCAGTTGATGGGTTGCAGGTTCTGAGGGGGGCAGTCGGGGGCAGGAAGTGGATGGGGGTCAGATAGGGGGTGGGGACAGGCTGTTTGAGGGGGCACAGCCTTCCCTACCTGGCCCCTGACACAATTTTGCAACCCCAATGTGGCCTCGGGCCAAAAAGTTTGCCCACTCCTGGTCTAGTTTATTATTTTATTAACAGGGGTCGCACTTGCCTCGTTCATTATGTTGATATGCGTTTAATAAAGCAATACTTTGTTTCTATTGTAATAAACATGTACAAATGTTTTTTTATTTTTTTTATTGTTAAGTCTGACTCCCAATGACTCAATGCATTGCCACTTCTTATGGCGAAAGGTACAAAAAATACATAGTGTGGCACATCCCTTAAATCCGAATTTTTTATACAGAACCGGTTGTTAAGATTTTCGCAGCTCATCACTGGTCGCGACCCTGTTTTAATGGGGTCCCCAAGGCTGGCTTACACTTGCTGGGGCCCTTGAGCTTCGGCTTTGCCGCCGCCCTCCTGGGGGGATGGGGCTCGGGCTTTAGCCTCCCCACCCGGAGCAGCGAGGCTTGGGCAGGCTCAGGCTTTGTTCCCTGCTCCTGGGGTCGTGTAGTAATTTTTGTTGTCAGAAGGAGGGGACAAGGAGCATTGTCCCATTGTCAACCCATTGTCACTGTGCAATGAAGTTTGAGAACCCCTGTACTAGAATGCATCAGTGATGTAATATATGAGAACATAAAAATCATCTATGCAGGGTTCTAGGTGCCTTTGCCATATATTAAAAATACAAACTAGTACAAACAAAAATAAATGTACTAGCCTCCTCAAAATTAGGAAGGGCAGCCCCCTGCTCTTGAATTATGTGTCGTTGTAGTTATGCTATTCAGCAGCAAGTGCTGTATGCTGAATGTATGACAGGGTATGATTGGAAGTAAACAAAAGAGACAAAGCTGGAACTCAAGCTCTGTGGAAATCTGTTTGTTCCTGTAGTTGTTTGTTTTCTTTAATAAACATTTTCTCCTTAAGAGAGGTGATAACTCACTCCAGCCTTGATACGCAAATATCAACTCTCAGTGCTCCCCTTCCTCTCCAGAAACCTGGACCAGAGGCAGAAGTTGTACTGGCAAGATAGTTCCCTATTTTAGACTAAGAGTGAGAGTGAATTCCGTGAAGCAGGTTCCCTCATGGGTCCCTGTCCTGGCAGCTCCCTCTATATATTGCAATCACTGAGAGTATGTGGACAGGGTGAGTGTCCTCTCTGCAGACTCTTTTCTGATGCAGATGCTGTGTTTGACCCCATGATTTCAGTAGAATTGTGCTTCCTTACACCATATGTTAACTTGGCTCTTTGCTCTGTCACCCCTACATCTCAAGACAAGTTCCTCCCTCCCCCGTATGTTCTTCACATTCAAATTCTCCTGTCTCACTGACACAAACTGTTCATTGGGGAATTTTGAAAAGGATTCAGACCCCCAAACCCTGCACAGAATGCAGAGAGAGAGAGACTCCTGCAGGAGACTACGAATGGGGGAAAAACCCTTCAGTGCAAACCACCTTTTCCCCACAACCATGAAGGCTACAAATGCATTTTTTAAAAGATGAAAACTGAAAACTCACAAATCACATGACTCCAGGACCCAGGTCTTTAAGAAAACTATCAAAACATCACAAGACTCCCAATAAAATTATAAGAATTGGCAACCCTCTTATCTTCTCCATCAACAACTTTCTCAGGAGACTGATTTCGATGTAGGAACAGATTCTGCACAGCTTGTCAGTCCCATCTTTTGTAGGGTATAATCACTGCAAGGGCATATTTGGGGCTTTCAAGCTCCCATAGTGAAGCCAAAAGAGCTTGTGAACTGTGTAAACCCAATAACTTCAGTGTATTTCCAGTGATCCACAAAGAGTCTGTGAAGGGACACACACTCATCCTGTTATGGAGGAGGTTAACCAGCTCCTCTGGGCCTGCTCCATGCTAATGAGATGCACCTGCAAGGTTTGTTCAGCCTGGAGGGGGAGGACCTTAACAGGCAGGAATTCCTCACAGGAACGGGGGTGAATAGGAGGAAGGCAGCTCTGCCCAGGGACTGCTGGAGACAGAATGAGTCCAGCTGAGGAGGAGACAGCTGTGAGGCACACTCCTCACGAAGCTGGGCTGACCGATAGTAAAGCAATACGCCCCGGGGAGAGGGGTAGAAGGCAAACCCTGCAAAGGGGCAATAGACTCTGAGAGACACAGCTCTTAGAGATGACTCTCTAGGGGCTGCCTGAGAGACTGGTCCTTGGTCCTTGATCCAGCCAGACCTTCCCCACCTTGCAAAGGGAAGGAAAGAACAGGAGCCAACCCCAGCTTGTTGGTTTAGCCTGCAGAGAACTTCCCCAAAGGCTGCCTACTGGGGGAGAAGAGGGGGAAATGATGGACAATGGGACCTGTGGGGGTCCAGGAAGCCTGTCTCCTCCTCCCGCACAGAGCCCATGTCATTCTCACCTTTAAGAAGAATCCAAAACAAAACAGGGAGAACCCTCATTGTCCACCTGGTTCCCTCAGCAGGTGAATCTCTTGTCACAACAATCTGATTAATCCAAGATAGCGCAGGGATCTTCTTTCTTTTGCCACTGTTGAAAATGAAACCCTGAGGCTCCCTGGCCAGTTCTTCAATTTGGAGTTTCCAGATTTCTCAGCTACCTCACTTCTCTAAGACGGTCCTGCGAGTGTACAGGTCTCTCTGAGAAGTTGGGTCACACGCTGAGGTTTATGGCAACTGGGGTAACAACAGCGAAGCAGCTGCACAGGTGCAAACCCCATATTGCCAACCTCAAGTGTTCAAAAATTAATGAGTCAGGCCCCAAAAAATCATGAGGCTGGCTTAAAAGTACTGAGTATGTGTGACCTGGATGCCCCATGTTGGCAACTGATGGAGGTACATAGTTACAAGTCTATTCTCAGGGACTTGTCTAAACAGGCATGGTTTCCCTGCAATCACCCTCTTCAAGATTTCACCCAAGAGGGCCACATTTAGTCTGTGCCAAAATCTAGAAACTCTCCAATCGTCATGGTTATTGCAGCTAACTCAGTCAAGTGAGAACAAGTGACCTCTTTTGACCCAGCCCAGCCAGGTGTTGACGCTCTAGACAAGGTGCAGACTTGGGCCTTTACAAAGCGCAAAAGAACTCAAGAAAATGACCTTGAATCGGGGGACCATTGTGGGCAAAATGAAGTTGTAAAAACCACCCAGGTTATGAAAAGAGACTCTCTGGAACTGTATAAAAGGAAAAAGAAGGACACAAGATGGTAGCTATTACAGAGGCGACACTGGGCCAGCAGGAGTGTCTTGTGAAAGGTGGATTCCAGCTTTATTAACTGCACAAGCACTGTATGGACTGACCATCGGGTGAGAAATACTTTCTTAGACGGGAAAGGAACTTATGAATAAGCATAGGCTCTAGATTACATTTTATATTTTTCTTTTGCCCGTAGCCATATGTTTCCAGTCCCTGTATTTGCTTCTATTTGAATCTTTATGTTAAGCTGCTTCCTCTTCTGGTGCACAGCTCCAAGAAAAGTTTCACACTCTGTGACTAAAGCCAGAGCCTGTTGGAGTGTCTTTGGCCTCCTTTCACTCATCTTGATCTGCAAGTCCAAGTCCAGCTGAGCATCTCTAAATGGTCCATTGCCAATTGATCCTGGAAGGCCACGGTGCTAGCTGAGTATGTCAGGAACACAAGTCTCTGCAGGTCTTCCACCACTTCAGGTGGGGTTACTACTTTCCCTCTCCTAGCTCTTAGCTGTGTCCGAGCCAGCTCAGATTGATGGCTAGCTCCAAACCACGTGTCAAGGGCTTGTGCCAGGTTTGGAAAACTCCGTCTTTTTTCTGGGGGTAAATTCTGCAGCACCATCAGTGCTGGGCCATCTAAGTTGGCTGCAAGAATACCCACCTCCCCCTTTTTTCTTGCCAGCCATTCATAGTGTTTATGATGTGGAACTGAGCCTAGACATGGGAACCACAGAGACAGACACCTGCAGGAGATTGTCCCCTAAGAATGTGGCGAAAATAGTTTGTTTACATGAGAGGAAAGTCAGGCCCACTCTGTGGACTTATGATGTGGGCAGAGCTGAGGGATGCATCCTTCTTCTGCTGATTCTGACCCATTCCTAAGTTAGGAGAGGGGCAATTCCTCAGCTGTAACAAAACACACAGACGTCACCAGTTACTGGATGAGGAAATTGGATACTGGATGCTTTCTGTTCATACCTGTCAGGGTGCACAGCTGTTCTGCTGTGTATGTTCCTGATCAGGGATACAGAGCAGTGAGGATGTCTCCATATTCACCACCATACTCACCACAGTCATATACGGAGGGTTCGGGTCAACGGGCCCTGCTAGTGCAGCCCAGACAGTTTGGGGGTGTGTTCTGGGTAGCCAGGCAGGAGAGGAAGCGGTCTCAGCAGAGTTGTTACCTTACCCCAGTCACAGACGGATGCCATGGTTGGGGAATGGGTGGACCATTGGCTCCCCCTCCCACAGTGCACTGGGCAGCAAAGCAGTGGTGGTGCCCCAAGGAAAGTATGCTGGACCAGGGACAGACCCAGTACAGTTTGCCCCATCTCCAGAAGGATGGGGAGACTAGAAGGGACCATGTAACTTGAGCAGTTGCAATCTCCCTCCCAGGCTGTGTGGGGCAAGTCAATAACTCACTGTCCCTTACTCTGTGCTCATGGTAAAGCTCTGACAGTCCCTGGGGAGCAACAGAACAAGACAGCACTGGGAGCCACCCAATGGAGTGTCATGGTGTGAATGTCAGAGGCTCTCACCATGTCTGTTTGGCACCATCTCCCTGGAGTTCCTCCGGTACTGTATGCTCACCCAGATCACAGCACAGACTATGCACAGGAAGACGGGGACGATCAGGAACAAGGGATAGAGGATGTTGGGTTGGGATCTATGCAGTAGAAATACAATAGAAACTGTAAAGCTCTGTAGATTTGACTCAACTCCTCCCTCTAATACGTTCCCTGGGTGCTCTCTGGGCAAAGGTGCAAACAAAGCTTCATTGGGGAGAAGAGGTATCACCCATTGCCTCAGCACCCGGTCCTTATACCAAACCCCAGCACCCACCTCTACTTATTCATTTATCCAATCAACAATAATCTGATGTGACTGGACTCGGACAGTCCCTGTCCAGGGCTTCTCTGCATCTGGAATTGCCATTGTCCTTCATGTGACTCCAGCCCTACTGAAACTCCAGGTTCTTGCGGATAAAAGCAATGTTCGTTTTTCTGTGGGATGTTATCACCAGTCATGTCATTATTCTTTGTTCCTCCGCGCACAGGGAGGTGATGCAATGGTCACATTTTGTGATCTCTGTTCTCTTAGCTGGCTATAGAGTCTTAAAAACTCATTGATAGGTTCATGAGTTGATTATTTGGGGTGCTGGGGAGGACAATAAACAAAGTGGGTTTCCATAGGATCATGTAAGGGAAGTTGGATCCCAGCACCAACAGAATTCTCCGGAAAGTTACTAGGATCCAATGGAAAACCTCACTAGCATTCACTGGCTGGAACTACTGAGATGCTGCAGAAATCTTGGGGGGAGGAAGAGAGCCGAAGGACCCTACGCACCACAATTGACTGCACCGGGGGGAAGCCTACAGACCCAGCGAAGTGTGAGCTCTGGAACGTACTGTGCTTGGATGTCACTGCTGTCCAAGGAGCTGTTACTTGAGGACGTCCATGAGCTAGAGACATGGTTTCCGGTGGAAATCCGTGTGAAGGCAGGAGCAGCTGGCTGATCTGTTGTCTGTGGTGCCTTTTCCATTGGGATTGAAGGAGGAAGAGCTGCAGCTAAAAACAGAAATTCAGCACAATTAAAAACACGCGCAAACACAAACGTCTCCACCTTGCCCCTACTTCCCCAACAGAGCCTTCCATGTATATCATCATGGAGTATGTTTGTCATGGAAACGACACACTTAGTCCTGACCCACATCGGAATCCAAACTGTAGCATTTTGTCAGGGCTCCTGAGATCTAAGGCCTTTTGTACCAACTCTTGGAGCGATGGAACGCTGAGCTCTGCACACGTGTGGCTAACTCAGCTAAGCTGGGAACGTATGTCTAACTTTTCAGGACAGCTGCTCTTTCAGTGAGACAAGGATCCGCAGGAGCCACGGTGAGTTTGGCCAGCACCACTCACCCCTTACATTAAATAGTATCAGCAGTGGAGGTGTAGCTGTGTCGGTCCCAGGATATTAGAGAGACAAGGGGGGTGAGGTAACGTCTGTTATTGGACCAACTTCTGTTGGTGAGACAAGCTTTTGAGCTACACAGAGCTCTTCCTCGGGTCTGGGAAAGGTACTGTCAGTCAGAACTTGTATTTAGCTGTGCCACTCGGCGTACCTTTCCCAGACCCGAGGAAGAGCTCTGTGTAGCTCGGCTGCTTCTCTCTCACCAACCGAAGTTTGATCCAATACAAAAAAAATTAATAATCTAGTGATCCCTCCCACCTCATTTACATGCTCCGTGTCTCTCTTCCCCCATTTGGGGAATTGTCCCCACCCCCAACACACCCACCCCCTTGGGGAATGACTCCCCCTTCCCTTTGGAGAATTGCCTCCCCATCCCCCTTTTCTCTTGCCCTCTCTCTGGCTAAGGTGGGGTGGGGGTGGGGGCTGGGCAGGAAAGAGGAGCTCAGTTCTGAGTGGCTTTAGGGCCTCAATCAAGAGCAGCGCTGCATGAAGGGTGCTGCAGGGCTGCAGCAAAGAGGCTAATGTACCTGTTTGCAATCAGACGGGAGTTCCTTCCCCACTGTCCCCAACTAGCTGGAGCCCTTTGAAGGAGGCAGGAGCAGTGTCTGACTCCCCTGGGTTAGAGGAATGTCTTCAGAGCTACAGACAACCCTCCCTGCCCCATCCATCCCTCCTCCAGCGTCCCCTCTCTTGTCACTGCCATGGGGGAGCAGAGGAAAGCTTTACCTGGGGAGACGATGACTTTGACGGAGTCCCTGGGATTAGGGAGGCCAATCCTGGCTACCCCACAGAGGTAAGTCCCCGCATCTGCCCGCGTCAGGTTCTCCAGGGTAACTGTGATAACGCGCTGGGTGTGATTGTCACGGATGGAGACTCTGCCCCACGTCTCCTCAGCCTCCGACCCCTTGGTCTCAAAGATGAGGTGATTGAAACACAGCACAACTTTGCGTCTGCACCAGAATTTCGGATAAGCCTCATAGCCTGCCCCGTACTGGCAACGCACAGACACCAAGCCGCCCAGCTGGCCATGTGCTGTGCCAGGGCCCGTCACTGCCCAGCAGCCTGCGAGAGACAGAGCCAAAGAGAGAAACTGAGAATCCTTCTAGCTGTGAACAGCAGTGCACTGCAGCCAGTGCTGGGGGGCAGCGGATTGTGGGGGATGCTTGAGCATTTGGAATGTGTGTGTGCAGCAGGAGGAGCAGAGCTGGGAGAATTGGCAGGGGCAGGGTCTTTCCTAGCCCCAGTTGGCTGGGAGTTATTTTAACTCAAGGGAGGACATGCTGGAACCCTGCAGGAGCAGGCATTGCCATTCAGCGTTGCTTTGTCTTTGCAGTAAAATGAAGTAAATTAGATCTGGTTTTCTCTCTCAATATTGCTGGCTGGAGACTGGCTGGAGGTCACTCCTTCCATACAAGTTGCTCATATCTCGCTTTACCTTCTCTATTCTCTGGGGAGAGACACAAACCAGTGGCTTGTCCCACCACCAGGGTCAGTTACTGAGTCAAGGGGAAGAGGCGTCTCTGCACAGGGACTGCAGATTCCAAAGGGTCTGGCTTCTGAAGTTCATGTCTCTAACCTTTTAAAAAGCTGACTTGGGAGCAAGAGCAACTCACGTGCTCCACAGCGCGGGCATTTACACCAGTGCAAAGTACCGTAAACTACTATCATGCTGATGTTGTAGCCTTTTACACCCACTTTCATTGACGTAAATGCCTATGCAAGGTGCAGGGCTGTGGTGAAGTGGGCCCGTCATTCCACGCAGGGGTGGGGCACACATTAGCTCACAGTAGGAGCTATGATACCTAACTGCAGCCATCGGTTAATAGCTCAGTGTTACCGAATCCAAGCGTTCCAAAATCAGGTCAGTCCCCACCCCCACCTCCAAGCATAACAAGGATTTAGGAATCAGCAGATTTTAAACATAATACATCAGTGGTTCTTTTTTCTTGGCTTTCTGGATTTGAGTCTTTAGGTGGCATTTGTGGCACATTTTCAAGTTTTTCTCTGCAACCACAAGGGCTAGAAACATTATCGTTTTTTCTTCAAGGAGTGCTGAGATTCTCACACATTCACGTGACTGTCTGGGCTGCGTCTTAAAGCAAGCAAACAGATACACAAGACTAGACCTTTTTGTGTCTTCTCCACAGAAAGCTTTCTTAGGATACAGATTTCAAATCTTTACTTCCCTGCATGGTTTGCAAGCTCCATCTCCAGTAGGCTGTAACAATTGCAGGAACCTATCTGGAGCTTTCCAGCTCTGACGGTGAAACTGGGAGAGCTTGTAAACTGTGCAAACCCAATCACTTCAGTGTATTTCTAGCAATCCCCACAGCGCCGACATCACTCTCACCTGGGAAAAGAATCCAAACCAAAATGGGGACAATCCTCATGGTCCTGGTTTCCTCTGCACAGGACTCACTCCCTGGGAAAATCAGGTTTCTCCGAGACCTCTGGGACCCTTCTTCTTTTAGGCCAGTTGACGATGAAACCTGGAGGCTCACTGACCAGTTCTATAATCTGAAGTTTCTAGATCTCTCAGCTGCTCCACTTCCCTTTGAAGAGGCTGGTGTTTCACGAGGGAAGGAAGTTGCTCCACGTCCATTCCCTACGGTGGTGTTTGCTATTTGCATTGAGGAGGAGCGGGGACACAGCATGAAATGTGGCTTATACCAGAGGCTGATGGGAAAACTTTAGCCACAAAATACACAGATCATATGATGGTAGATCTCTGAAAAAAAATGTTACTAATTGCAACACAACCTAGGGTTTAGGTCACAACCTCCAATTAGACACCCCTACCCCCTCCCAGTGGAACCTGGTTGGTTCCACTGCAGGGACCCTCAGAGAGAGAGAGACCCTGCTGCAGCTGGCCTGTGCTAGCTAACCAAGGCTAAGGAGCTCAGGCTACGGGGCTGTTTAATTGTGGTCCAGACATGCGGGCTCAAGTTGCAGCCTGAGCTCTGGGACCCTCCCACCTTGCAGGGTCCTAGAGCCCTGGCTCCGGCTCCAGCCCAAGCCTGAAGGCCGACAGTGCCGTTAAACAGAGCCCTAGCCTGAGCCCTGCGAGCCCAAGTCAGCTGGCACAGACCAGCCACCGGTTTTTAATGCTGTGGAGACCAGTGGTTCTCAACCTGTGGCCCGCAGGCCGCTTGTGGGACAATCAGCCCACAGCTGTGGCCCATGTGACATCCTCAGGGCCATACAGGTAGGATATATATTGTGTGGATGCGGCCCACATAGCCACAGAGAGCTACATATGCGGCCCACAATGGTAAATAGGGTGAGAACCATTGGTGTAGACATACCCACTGAGGCGTCCGCTCTCTGTGTGTCCGTCACTTATTATTTCTATGTGGCAGCACTGATATTGTCCCCTCTCCCCAGCATTCAAAAATCATGTGTAGGTCTCAGCAACCATGAGATTGGCTTTAAAATCTCAAGAGCTTTGGTTTATTTAAAGATGTCTTTTGGGGTTCTTTGTTTATCTTCCATTTTTTGAAACCTGAGGGTGCACTTGGGTCACCTTTTCAAATTTTTCTCGACTGTGGGGTGGGCTGGAAACGTATTGTTTCCTTTTCTAAGGAAAGCTGAGATTCTTCCATAATCCCAAGAATCCAGGAGCTGGAACTTTAAAAAAAGCAGCAAATGTTGTGAGACTTGCACTAAAACCGTGAGAGTTGGTAACATTGGGGCAGCCGAGTGGATCTGGTGGCAGCTGTGCAGGCAGTGGGGATCAGCATGGAGGTGGTGGAGGGGACAGAGTTTAAAGAAGAGTGGAGCTCCTGTGGCCAAATAGGGAGAAGGAGCAGATTCCCCACTCCCGCCCCCGCCCCCCAGGATCATTAGTCGACCTGGGGTTACGAGAGGTGCTAGAGGATGGGTGGTATGAGGGCCCCTAGTGGTGCACATGGTGGAGATGAGGCTAGGAAGGAAAGGCTGGAGAGCATAAGGGGAAAATATGGAAACTGCAAGGGAGAAGAAGAAGAGGGAAAGTCTCCAAGTATGAAGACTGGAATATACCATGCTCCTCCCTCACCCCCCAGTTACTGTCTCTCTTTTCTAGATGGGTGTGTGAGAGAGAGAGAGAGAGAGAGAGAAAGGATGAAAGAAACTCTGAGTCCAATTGATAAGTGAAATGGCTCAGATAAAGTCACAGGTTTGAAGGCAAAACCATGAACTTCTCAGCTGGAAGGAGCAGAAATCATCCCAGCGAAGGGCAGCTGCATCATCTCCACAAATGCCCCTTTCTCACTAAGCTGCTTTCTATCTGTTCTTTAAAATGTCTCAAAAGAAAATTGCCTCCCTTTGGGACAGTCACATTTCCTGTGGGACTTTGCAGAGCCTTCAGCTTTTCTGAAACCTGAAAAAAATATTTTTCTCATTAGGTGTCTCATTTTCTGTTCTGTGTTCTCTCCCACTGCCCCTTTTACACAGTCTATAAACCAGAAGGTGGAAATGTACAAGAAAGAGAGTATGTGTAACCAACAAGCTGCTGGGGTAGCCTTTGAGATCTTATCCACTTGATTCCCAAGAACTCAGCTCAACTCCGAATGCATCACTGAGGTTTCTTTATTGGCATACAATCAAACTATACTTGAGTTAATCAGGCTCAAGTGTAGAGGGTGGGAAGAGGGTATATCACACATCCAATGTACATAATCGTGAATCAGCTTCTGGACACACTTACACTTAATACTACTGGTTAATAGATCAGATCACACACTCTGTGATTGGTCCACTTATTTTTGTACCCAGTCCCTGTCTAGATCATGAGCTGTACACATGCTGCAAGCAATCACATGTTGCCTACTATCCTACTATCTCTTTTCTACTAGCTATGTCTTTTACATATTTACAAGGCTACTGTCCCTTCATGCTTTGTTCATTGTTTCATGTTCTTGCTCAGAACAGACGGACATGGACTACAATTCAATGTGTGACAATTTTGGTCATTGTAATGTTATATTTCAGAGTAACAGCCGTGTTAGTCTGTATTCGCAAAAAGAAAAGGAGTACTTGTGGCACCTTAGAGACTAATCAAAAATTGAGAGCGTGTGGCACAAGCTGTCAGCATAGTCTGTGTGGTATGTAGATTGTAATGGATTTTTTACCTTCAGTCCTTTTGGTACGATGTCCATCTGTTTGCAGTTGGAAAGGAAGATGATGTCTGTCTGTGTCTGTACAAGTTTTTTCATGCAGTTGATAGATTTCCGCTCCATACGGCTAAATGCAGTGCCTTGCATAATGACAGGTTTCAGAGTAACAGCCGTGTTACTCTGTATTCGCAAAAAGAAAAGGAGTACTTGTGGCACCTTAGATACTAGCCATTTGTTATAGTAATTTAATGTAAAATACTGTACCTATTCATTTACTTATCTAAAACATTAAAAATTCTATCCAGGGCTCCAGGTGCATTTGCCATAAACTAAAAATACAAACAGTACAAACAAAAATAAACACAGCAGCTTCCCCAAATCTAGGAAGGGGTTAAAAAGAATATTCAACAATAATATGTGTGCTTGTAGTTCCATCATTCACCCAGTAGGGGTCTGTGTGAACTGTACGTTGTCCCAGAGAGGGTGTGGGGCTGAGTAAGCAAACAGGCAAGCTGGGACTCAAGCTGTGTGGACGTCTGTCTCCCTCTGCAGTTGCGTCTGTTTTCTTTCATAAATGGCTTCGCTTTAGGAAAAAATGTTATTCCATTAGCGTGACCCCGTGCTTCGATGCACAAATCCCAGTTCTTAGTACAGCCCAGCTCCCCAGAAGCCTGGAAAATGAGATGGCCTTTGCAGTGTCAACAGATCTGGGAGGATCCGGATCAAGGGAATTCCAGGTACAGAATCCCTTCTGGAGCACACCTGGTGGCAGCTCCCGCTTTTCACCTCAGGTCACTGTGACTATGTAGAGCCCAGCTGACTCAGGGGCAGCCTCTGTCACTGCTGGCTCTGACCTTGTGTTTGGTTCTGGGACTTCAGCGGAGTTACACTTGCTTAAACCAGGCATGAATTTGGCCCTGGGCTCTCCAACCCCCTGATAAGAGCCTGGGTTCCTGGGCCTGGGAACCATCGAGACAGACACCTCCGGCAGACTTCATCCTCGGAGAACGTGAGGGCAATAGCTTCACTTGACAGGAGAAGAAAATCAGGCCCATGGTGTGGGATATTCTGCGCAAACCTGGAAAATGAATCCTCTGTCTGCCGGTTCCGATCCATTTCTAAGAGCTAGCAAAGAGGCAGTTCATGAGCTGCAACGAAAACAAGGACATCCCCAGTGACTGGAGGAGAAACACTTCATGCTGGGAGCTTTTTGTTCATAGCCATCATGGGGTGAGTCTGGTTCTATGAATTCCTGATCAGGGCTATAGAGCAGCGAGGATGTCTCCCTATTCACACTCAGACTCATCACACTCCTATGTAAAGGTTGAGGTCAAATCATGGCCCTGCTAGTACACCAGGGGGCCATAAGGGGGTGCAACTTAGGGATCCATGCGGGATTGGAAGCAGACGCAGCAGAGCACTGGACAGGTCGAAGCTAAAGGTTGGGGAATGGGTGGATCATTGGCTCCACCTCCACAATGGACCTGGCAGTGTAGCTGAGCCGATTCACCACTGGAAGTACTCCGCATCAGTTATAGATCTGGAGGTTTGCTCCATCTCTGAAGTAAGGGGGGGAGAACGGAAGGGACATTGTAACTTGGGCAGTCATGATCTGCCTCCCAGGGTGCTCCAAGGGCAATGCAACAACTGACTGCCCCTTACTCTGCTCACAGGAAAGCTATAATTGAGCCCTTGGTGTTCAAGAGAAGACTGAGAACATTCCCATGGTCATGTCACCCTGTAGTGGGAGTGTTAGATGCTCTCACCTTGTCTGTCTCTCTGGCACCATCTCCCTGGGACGCCTCCTGTAGCGTACGCTCATCCAGATCAGCACACAGACGATGCACAGGAGGAGGAGAACCTTCAATAAGACCAGGAGCAGGAAACAGATGATGATGGGTTGGAATCTATGTAGTTGAAATACAATAGAAACTTTAAAGCTCTGACAATTTGACCAGACTCCTCCCAATAAAACATTCCGGCGCTGCTCTCAGGCTGCAGATGTGCACGAGTTTCACGGTGGAAGATGCAACACACAGAGCCTCAGCACCCTGCCCTTATAGAGAACCACAGCACCTACTTGGGGATTCATTCATCCTGTTATACAGTCTGATGTGACTGGACCTGGACAGTCTCTGTCCAGTGCTACTCTGCATCTAGAATTGCCATTTTCCTACATATGAATCCAACCTCACTGGACCTGCAGGTTCTTGCTGATAAAAGCAACATTTATTTTTTCTGTGGGACTTTATCACCAATGATGTCACTATTCTTTGTGCCTCTAGAGATGGATCTTGCTAGGGCATTGGGAGAAGTGACCAGAGCGACAAGGGACAGGAGTAATGGCACTCACCGTGTAGGAGTGGTGTGTGTAGGAATGGTGTGTGCGGTAGGGGAGCAACTGGATTCAGCTTTTGTTGAAGAAGACACATCTGGCTGCTTTGTTCCTTGTGGTGTCGTTTCAGTCTGAATTGCATAAGGAACAGCTGTAGAGAAAAACAGAGATCTAGTCTGCTCCACAAATCAACCCAACCTGAAATGTTTGGCATAAGTCTGATCATTAATGAGTCTCCTGCTGTCTCAGAACCTTCACGCTTAATCCTGGCCCACATCACAGTCCTTGCTCTTGTTTGCTGCCAGCTGTAACATTTCCTAGGATGGATTGCTCCTGAGGACTAAGCACATTATCTCCCTTGACTTCTGGCTAACTTGTGTGGCTAACTTTGCCAGATCATGAATGTACATACTCGTTTGGTGTGCTTTAAATGAGGTCGGTCCATCTGCAGACTCCATTGTTCGCTGGGCCAGCATCACTCTCTCCATTAATTTAATAGGCTAGTGATACATCCCAGCTCAGTTATTTAAACAAAAGACCACATGACTCTGGCTTCATCTAATCACATGAGAAAAAATATTGTCAAAAAAATTGAAAATGTTCAGAATAAAAACCTTCCTTCCAGAAACCAAGGGACAGAGAATTAGTTGCCTGTCACTGCCCTTGGAAACCGCAAGCAGCTGAAAATCAAGGGAAGGGATATTTCAGGACACCATCGACCTTACACTGCCCACATAGAAAGGAACGAATCTTCTCAAGTATATTTCATCCCGACTCAACAGCCCCAACTCTGAGCCCAAATGAAAACTACTGGCGCACCAAAATCTCGCCCTTTGCCCCCAGCACTGTCCCTTGAATGTGAGTTTAAACAATGAGCCAGCGGCACTTGAAGGCCTCAGGGTCTTGATCTACATTCCAGTTACTCGGGGCAGGTTTCGGTTCGATCTGTCAAGAAGTGGCAAAAACAAATTTCCAGCTTGAAACTGAACGGATGTCCCCGCTGCTGTTGACTGCGCCCATTCCCCCACCCCCTAAATATTTGGGGTACCGATATCTATAGTGCAGGGGGGCGGGTATGGAGTCTGGCAGCTCCCGCTCCTCTGGTAGTTCTGCCAAGGGCCTTCCACACCCCTGGGCCCCGCTTCTCTCCCCCTCTTCCAGCCCTTTTCCTTCTCTCCCCCTCGTCCCCACCTGTCGGGGAGGCGCCCCTCCTCTGCCTGTGGATGCCCTCCGCCCTCGGTCCGGCTCACGCAGCCACTGGGGAGCGAGGGGCCGGGCCTGGGGGTCTCAGAGGCGGGGTGGTTAGCCGCTGTCCGGTGCGGGTGCTGCGGGGCTGGGCAGGGGCCGGTCGGCGCGGAGCAAAGGGCGCTGCGGGGAGCTCAGGTTACAGCAGATCTGCCAGTCCAGACACCCGCCCCTCTTCCACCGCCCCCCGGCCGTGCCCCAAGCCCGGCAGCCCCGACACTGCTGGGGGGCAGCGCCGGGATTTACCTGGGGAGACGGTGAGTTCCACAGCGGCCCTGGGGTCAAGACGCCCAGGCTTCCCCACCCCGCAGTGGTACGTGCCGGCGTCTGCCTGGGTCAGGTTCTCCACGGTCACGGTGAAGGCGAGCTCGGTGTGATTGTCCTGGATGGAGACTCTGCCCTGCCTCACCTCGGCCTCCGACCCACTGGTCTCCACGATGAAAAGCCCGTCGGAACAGCGCCACCTTCCTCCTTCCCGGCACCAGAACTTCGGATCATCCTCAGAGCCACCCCGGTACCGGCACCGCACAGCCACCGACCCGCCCGGGGACCCGCGCACTGCCCCGGGGCCCGTCACTGCCCAGCAGCCTGCGAGAGACAGAGACGAGACCCGGGCATCCTTCGGGCTGCCTATAGCCATGACATGACCCACGTGCCCGGGGCGGAGAGGGGGGTTGTGGGTGATGCTTAAGCCCTTTGGCGGGAGGACAGCGAGTCAGAGCCAGGTTCACCTGTCCAAAAACCTGACTTTTTAAAACTATGTAAAGGGACCAAGAGCAGTTGCCCCTCTCCCCTGGGGCTGCGTGGGAGCAGGTGAATGGGGCAGGGCGGCAGGCATGGGCAGGGTATGGGCTGGTCTGCTCTCAGCAGGTTAATTAACTATAAAAGGGACCCAAAATTAGGCTTGATTCTTATTTACCCGCAGCCCCCTTTGCACCACTCTGGCAGTGCACAGAGACGTAGCATGAATGCAGGTGTCAATTACATTTTCCACTAATATATTTTGCAGTAGGAACATTTGCTGCAGGAAAAATTCTGTTTCAAAACAATATTTGGGTTTTCCGGGTGGGAAAATTGAACATTGAAATGATGAGTTCAATTTCAAACTGACTTTTCAAAATGAAACTCTCTTTTTTCATTTTCACCTAAAATGTCATTTTGTTTTGGTTTTCCATTTCAGGTTCATATTTTGGGGGTTCTCACCACCCCCTTTCTGCTCCAGTGTGATGCTCCAACGTGCACCATGCTGGGATATCTCAGGAATGTAAACCTGACTAGTTTAGTACTTTCTAAATGCAGTTTGGAAGGTGTGAGTTGCATAGAGCTAGCTGCTTGATCTAACAAAATATCTATGAATGCTAGTCTAGACAAGGGGTCAGAAAAGTGCCCCCCCTCTGTCCTGCAAATATTTACCCATGTGCTTCATTTTAAGTACAGGAGAACTCCTTTGGGGTTCATTGGCACTCCTGCTTAGAGTTAATCAGTGGAATTAATCATGTTGTTAAAATTAAGCATGTATAAGTGCTTCTAGGATTAGACCCTACATTGGTATTGTTTGGTTCACTTTTGTTACAGTTATTTATTTATTTATTTTATTTTGAAAAGCAGTCTTTGAAAGTTGCTTGAAAGATACTTTGACGATAAGGGCCATATTCGCAACTAGGGAGACAAAACACAGCCTAGAAAACTAATTGCATCAAATACTTGATGGTGCCCCCTATGTCAAGGTTTCAGTAGGACTTACCTTCTCCCATCCTATTTCACAGGCTCATCACCAGAGCTGGTCAAATAGTTTGTTGTGAATAATATTTGTTACAAATTCTGGCTATCTTTACATCAAGTAGTTATTATTGAATAAGGGTTTCCATTATTTAACTGTCTCTGCAGATAATGGTCTGAATAATTCTCCTGTTTGTCTGAGACCAGAGATGATGTTTTTGTGCAAAACCTCATCAGTGATTTTTAGTTTAGTCATTTTAAAAATACATTTCCCCCATTTAAAAGAGTATTTGGGGGCTATTTGAAGGCTTGTATCTAATTCAGAAATAGTACATTGAACATTCAATCTATTCAGAACATTGTAGTACATTGTAGTACATTGAACATTCAGACTATTCAGAAAGAGTACACTGAACATTTGAAACTTTCAGAAGGTGTAAGCTTTCAGGAGTCGTTTACGCCAGTGCAAAGTGAGTAGAAAATGCTGCCATTCTGAGATTGTCATCTTTGACAGCCACTTTGCATGGATGTAAGTGACTACACAAGGTCTAAGATATGGTGAGTCAGGTCTTCCATTCCATGCACGTGTGGTGGGAACTTTTGGAGTAAAAGTTGCAATACTTAACTGTTGCAGTAGGTTAATATCTTCAATATTTCCAACCCTCAGGACTAGTCTACACTGGGAACATACATCGGGGTGGCTACGCCACCCAGGAGTATGAAAAATCCATACCCTGAGAGAAGTACCTATGCTGACCTAACCCCCTGTGTAGACAGTGCTAGGTCGATGGAAGAATTCTTCCATCAACTTAGATACCACCTCTTTGGGAGGTGGATTACCTGTGCCAATGAGAGAACCCCTCCCGTTGGTGTAGGTAGTGTCTACACTGAAGTGCTACAGCGGCGCAGCTGTGAGACAGGAACAGTTTAAGTGTAGACATACCCAAGTGTAATCAAAACTCATGAGTCAAGCCACCCCCCACCCTCCATCATGAGATGGGCTTAAAAGTCATGAGATTTTTTGAAAAAAAAAATAAATTTGTGGGGGTTTTGTGCCTTTTGCATTTTGAGTCTTTAGGTTGCACTTGGATCATGTTTTCAAGCTTTTTCTCCACAAGTATGACAGCTAGAAACATTTTTTAAATGAAAGCTGAAACTCTCCCCAAATCACAGGTATCTAGGAGCTGGGGTGTTAAGAAAAAAACCTTCAAGTATTGAGAGAATTGCAATAAAACCACAACAAATAGCAATACTGCAATCACCTAATATAGACAGGGTGCACACCGTGTCTACATTAGGGGTTTGCTCCCTTGAACTCACTCTTAGTGGCCCTCAGCCTGGAGCTACAGTTTGATCTTAGCTCTATATTGTGGTGAAGGCCCTGTAACCCAAACCAGAGGCCTTGTCTCATCAGTGACTGATCAATCTTTCCCAGCTCTTATCTCTTTAGGGACCTTTCCAGCTACAGGCCTTTTCAATAACTATTCCATTCCCTGTGTGTGTGTGTGTGTGTGTGTGTGTGTGTGTGGTGTACGACACAGATAAGTGATCACACACCAGTAACTTTAGCCACTGGTGCTCAATGTCCCCAATAGCCAGACAAGGGAAGCCGTGATGCCCCAAAATGCACCAGGCTGGGATGTCACACCTACCGCGGAACTCATCTTGAGCATGATCTTGCCTCATAGAAAGTCTGAAAAGGTCCAAACTGTACGATTTGGTGCACTTTTGCAAACATTCTTTGAAAGATGCTCAGAGTCTACAGTGATGAAGCCATTTTCTATAGCTAGAAATAATCACACCCTCTAGAATTAGTTATAACTAACACATGGCTCGTGCCCCATATCGTCAAGGTTACAACATGACTTTTATTATAACTTATTGTTTTCATATGCTCATGGCTAGAGTTCATCTTATAGGAACAGTGGAATAACCAGACTAGATGAGACTCAGCGTCCAATATTCTGTCTCCAACAGTGGTCAGAGCCACATGCTTTAGAGAAAAGTGTAAGAACCCCGCAGTATGCAGATGTGGGACAATGTCCCCCGCCCACCGCAATAGGTCTCTTCCTGATCTCTAATAGCTAGACATCGCCTTAAGCCCAGAAGTATGTGCTTTCAATTCTCATCCAAAAGTTTGGTTGATGCTAATTATGATAACTCTGGATATTCTCAATATGCATGTAAATATCCAATCCTTATTAGAATCTGGCTACATTCTTAGCCTCAGTGTTTGTTGCAACTAATATTGGTTGCAAATGCTGGTAAAGTTTTCATCAAATAATTCTAATGAATATTGTTTTCTGTTCTTTGACCAACTGTGCTGAGAACGTTCTGAAAAATTCTCCTTTCAGCTGAAATTTTCCTTGCTTTGTCTTCCTAGAAAACTTTCTCTGCAGACACAGACACAGAGTCTGTGCTGAAATCTTTACTGTCCTGCCCACTTTGTAAGTTCCATCTGCCGTGTGAGTTAGCTTCACAGCAAGAGCACAGCTGAGACTTTCAAGCTCTGTTGGTGAAGCTGGCAAAGCTTGTAACCTGTGCAAACCCAATACTTGCATTGTATTTCTAGTGATCCACGAAAAGACCATGTCATACTCACCTGGGAAAAGAATCCAAAGCAAAACAGAGAAAATCCTCATGGTCCTGATTCCCATGGTGGGGGAATCTCTCCGCTGAAAAATCTGGGCTCTCCAGGAGATCCCAGGGACCCTCTTCCTTTTGTGAGAGTTGAAAATGAAACCCCAAGACTCACTGACCAGTTCTATTGTGTCAAGTTCCTCGATCTGTCAGCTGCCCCACTTCCCTTTGAAAAGGCTGCTGGTTGACCTCAGAAAGAAGTTGCTCAACCTGCATTCTCCGGCGATTGGTGTTTGCTTCTTTTTTTAAAAAGGAGATGCATGATTAAAGGAAACGTCACGCTCACTGAGAGAAAAGCTGGGCCACAGTTCCCATCATTTGAAGGTTTCTGAAAAGTGTTACTGAGTGCCATGCTAAGACTTTGTCTCCACTGCGGTTTAGCGGCTGCCATAGCTACAGCGATTAGAGCTGAACTGGTGCAAACCCAGTAATGCCGGCTTCAAGCATTCAAAAATCACATGATCAAAGAATTCACGCTTGTGGCTCTCTTATCCAGGCACCGACATGACCACAACCAAACAGCAAAAACTACTAAGTGTCAATATCACATGTCAAGATATACACAATAAATATCCTAAAACCAGAAAGATCTGTTGTTCTGTGTGGCATATTGAAGTTGAATTTTTTTTGCCCAAATCGTGTGATGTGACAGTGTGAAAAACATGGGTGTGTGGGGGGGGGGGGGGGGTTGTATTTCAGGAAACTTGTAAGGAAACAAAATGTCTCCAGTACCTAAAAAGAAGATGTCAGATGCACAGAACAGGAAATGGAAAGCTGCGAGAATGACTGCAATGAAGAAAGATGCAGACGCAATGAAAAAATACTTGAAATCTGTTAACAGCAACCCATGCAGTAGTAGCGAGACAGTCAGAGCGGAGACATCAGAGGAGAAGTGCATAGGTCATTCACAATTCAACGTTCAAGAATCATTGCAAGAGAAACAAAGAGACCCAAACAAAACTGAAATTCTTTTATCTAGACCAGAATAATACTGATGCAACTAGTGATAGAGGTGAAACAATTCCCACTGTAGGCGCTGGTGATGCCATTTCTGATCCTGCTTTATGGCCCAATCTAACACCCAGAATCGAGATCTGTTAGCGACCAATGGTCCACCAAAAGTAAAGGACGTGGATTTTCCTCTGGATAAGCAGAATTGCCATTTGTCTATGAAGTTTTTGTGCAGAAAGCTTGAAAATGGTGAGTTCTGAAGCAGTGCTGGCTGCTTTACTCAGAATCCACTAACCTGGCTTTCTGTTTCTGCTGCAAGCTCTTTGACTTGAATCCAAAATCATCCCTAGCATTTGAGGGGGTCAAATGATTGGAAGCACACACCTCAGATTCTCATGTGTCATGAAAAGTCCATAGTCATTTCAATTCCTTCCAAACATGAGTCAAAGCAGAGCAAAGGTTAAAACTGGATAATTGCATTGACAGGGAGCTTCAACATGTGATTCAACAAGAGACAAAACAGTGGGAGAAGGTTATAAAGAGACTCATGTCAATAATACTTTATCTTTCTAAAATAACATGGCTTTCCGAGGCTCATCTGACAGGCTCTTCACAGGAACAACAGGAACTTCCTGGGTTTGGTGGCGTTACTAGGAAAATACACTGAAGTAATGAAGGGGCATTTGCAATGCATACTTTCCAGGGAGGTAATGGATCACTACTGTGGAAAAGAATCCAGAATGAGATAATTGAATTGTTGTTGAAGAAAGTGCTGCAAGACATTATTAAAAGGTTAAGGAGTGGCAAGTACGAGTCCATGGTATTGGACTGCACTTCAGATGTGAGCCATTCTGAAAAGATGTCTTTCACTGTTTGGTTTCTTGACACTTCCCATGGCAAAGTGACAATTCAGGAGCACTTTATTGGTTTTAAAAGAGTGGACGAGTCCACGGGGAAGGACTAACTGATACTATATTGGCTACTCTGCAGGAATGTGACATAAATATCCAAGACTGCTGGGGCCAGGGTTATGACAATGGTGCAAACATGACGGGGAAAACCAAGGGTGTACAGGCAAGAATCCTTAATCAAAACCCAAGAGCATTTTTCGTTCCATGTGGATGCCACTCGCCTAGTCTTGTGGTGGGGGATGCTGCAACATCTTCAGTGGAGTCCATGTCCCTCTTCGGCATTCTGCAAAGGATCTACGTTCTGTTCTCTGCCTCTGTTCGTCGTTGGAAGATTCTCACAGATCATGTCAATGTCACTGTGAAGCCAGTATGTGAAACACGCTGGGAGTGCAGAATTGACGGTGTTAAAGCTGTTCGATACCAAACAGCTGAAGTCTACGATGCCCTCATCGCCTTGGCTGAATCGGAGCAAGCAGACGCTGGAGTCCATCATGAGGCATTTAGCCTGGCATGTCATCTAACTGAATTCAAGTTTCTTGTCTCTATTGCGGTGTGGTATGCTATCCCTTTTCAAGTCAATGTGGTGAGCAAAAGCACGCAAAGCAAGAAAAACATGGACATTGTTGCAGCCACAAACTTGATAAATGCCTGTCGTAACTATATACAGGGAAGTCGGGTATGAAGGAGCTCTGACAACAGCTAAGGAAATAGCTGAAGATCTTGATGTTGATATAGGGTTTAAACCAGCCCCACGAGTCTGTCATAAAAAGTGTCAGTTCAGCTCTGAATGTGAAGATGAAACAGTTCACAATCCAGAAGTCAAGTTAATATACCATGCTCCTCCCTCACCCCCCCAGTTACTGTCTCTCTTTTCTATAGGGGTGTGTGTGTGTGAGAGAGAGAGAGAGAGAGAGAGAAAGGATGAAAGAAACTCTGAGTCCAATTGATAAGTGAAATGGGTCAGATAAAGTCACAGGTTTGAAGGCAAAACCATGAACTTCTCAGCTGGAAGGAGCAGAAATCACCCCAGCGAAGGGCAGCTGCATCATCTCCACAAATGCCCCTTTCTCACTAAGCTGCTTTCTATCTGTTCTTTAAAATGTCTCAAAAGAAAATTACCTCCCTTTGGGACAGTCACATTTCCTGTGGGACTTTGCAGAGCCTTCAGCTTTTCTGAAACCTGAAAAAAATATTTTTCTCATCGGATGTCTCATTTTCTGTTCTGTGTTCTCTCCCACTGCCCCTTTTACACAGTCTATAAACCAGAAGGTGGAAATGAACAAGAAAGAGAGTATGTGTAACCAACAAGCTGCTGGGGTAGCCTTTGAGATCTTATCCACTTGATTCCCAAGAACTCAGCTCAACTCCGAATGCATCACTGAGGTTTCTTTATTGGCATACAATCAAACTATACTTGAGGTGATCAGGCTCAAGTGTAGAGGGTGGGAAGAGGGTATACCACACATCCAATGTACATAATCGTGAATCAGCTTCTAGACACACTTATATTTAATACTACTGGTTAATAGATCAGATCACACACTCTGTGATTGGTCCACTTATTTTTGTACCCAATCCCTGTCTTGATCATGAGCTGTACACGTGCTGCAAGCAATCACATGTTGCCTACTATCCTACTATCTCTTTTCTACTAGCTATGTCTTTTACATATTTACAAGGCTACTGTCCGTTCATGCTTTGTTCATTGTTTCATGCTGTTGCTCAGAACAGACGGACATGGACTACAATTCAATGTGTGACAATTTTGGTCACTGTAATGTTATATTTCAGAGTAACAGCCGTGTTAGTCTGTATTCGCAAAAAGAAAAGGAGTACTTGTGGCACCTTAGATACTAAACATTTGTTATAGTAATTTAATGTAAAATATTGTACCTATTCATTTACTTAACTAAAACATTAAAAATTCTATCCAGGGCTCCAGGTGCATTTGCCATAAACTAAAAATACAAACAGTACAAACAAAAATAAACACAGCAGCTTCCCCAAATCTAGGAAGGGGTTAACAAGAATATTCGACAATTATATGTGTGCTTGCAGTTCCATCATTCACCCAGTAGGGGTCTGTGTGAACTGTACGTTGTCCCAGAGAGGGTGTGGAGCTGGGTAAGCAAGCAGGCAAGCTGGGACTCAAACTGTGTGGACGTCTGTCTCCCTCTGCAGTTGCGTCTGTTTTCTTTCATAAATGGCTTCGCTTTAGGAAAAAATGTTATTCCATTAGCGTGACCCCGTGCCTCGATGCACAAATCCCAGTTCTTAGTACAGCCCAGCTCCCCAGAAGCTTGGAAAATGAGATGGCCTTTGCAGTGTCAACAGATCTGGGAGGATCCGAATCAAGGGAATTCCAGGTACAGGATCCCTTCTGGAGCACACCTGGTGGCAGCTCCCGCTTTTCATCTCAGGTCACTGTGACTATGTAGAGCCCAGCTGACTCAGGGGCAGCCTCTGTCACTGCTGGCTCTGACCTTGTGTTTGGTTCTGGGACTTCAGTGGAGTTCACTTGCTTAAACCAGGCATGAATTTGGCCCTGGGCTCTCCAACCCCCTGATAAGAACCTAGGTACCTGGGCCTGGAAACCATCGAGACAGACAGCTCTGGCAGACTTCATCCTTGGAGAACGTGAGGGTAATAGTTTCACTTGACAGGAGAAGAAAATCAGGCCCATGGTGTGGGATACTCTGTGCAAAGCTGGAAAATGAATCCTCCGTCTGCCGGTTCCGATCCATTTCTAAGAGCTAGCAAAGAGGCAGTTCGTGAGCTGCAACGAAAACAAGGACACCCCCAGTGACTGGAGGAGAAACACTTCATGCTGGGAGCTTTTTGTTCATAGCCATCATGGGGTGAGTCTGGTTCTATGAATTCCTGATCAGGGCTATAGAGCAGCGAGGATGTCTCCCTATTCACACACAGACTCATCACACTCCTATGTAAAGGTTGAGGTCAAATTATGGCCCTGCTAGTACACCAGGGGGCCATAAGGGGGTGCAACATAGGGATCCATGCGGGATTGGAAGCAGACTCAGCAGAGCACCGGACAGGTCGAAGCTAAAGGTTGGGGAATGGGTGGATCATTGGCTCCACCTCCACAATGGACCTGGCAGTGTAGCTGAGCCGATCTGGAGGTTTGCTCCACCTATGAAGCAAGCAGGGGGGAGAATGGAAGGGACATTGTAACTTGGGCAGTCATGATCTGTCTCCCAGGGTGCTCCAAGGGCCATGCAACAACTCACTGCCCCTTACTCTGCTCACAGGAAAGCTATAATTGAGCCCTTGGTGTTCAAGAGAAGACTGAGAACATTCCCATGGACGTGTCACCCCGTAGTGGGAGTGTTAGATGCTCTCACCTTGTCTGTCTGTCTGGCACCATCTCCCTGGGACTCCTCCTGTAGCGTACGCTCATCCAGATCAGCACACAGACGATGCACAGGAGGAGGAGACCCTTCAATAAGACCAGGAGCAGGAAACAGATGATGATGGGTTGGAATCTATGCAGTTGAAATTCAATAGAAACTTTAAAGCTCTGTCAATTTGACCAGACTCCTCCCAATAAAACATTCCGGCGCTGCTCTCAGGCTGCAGATGTGCACGAGTTTCACGGTGGAAGATGCAACACACAGAGCCTCGGCACCCTGCCCTTATAGAGAACCACAGCACCTACTTGGGGATTCATTCATCCTGTTATACAGTCTGATGTGACTGGACCCAGACAGTCCCTGTCCAGTGCTACTCTGCATCTAGAATTGCCATTTTCCTACATATGAATCCAGCCTCTCTGGACCTGCAGGTTCTTGCTGATAAAAGCAACATTTATTTTTTCTGTGGGACGTTATCACCAACGATGTCACTATTCTTTGTGCCTCTAGAGATGGATCTTGCTAGGGCATTGGGAGAAGTGACCAGAGCGACAAGGGACAGGAGTAATGGCACCCGCCGTGTAGGAGTGGTGTGTGCGGTAGGGGAGAAACTGGATTCAGCCTTTGTTGGAGAAGACACATCTGGCTGCTTTGTTCCTTGTGGTGTCATTTCAGTCTGAATTGCATAAGAAACAGCTGTAGAGAAAAACAGAGATCTAGTCTGCTCCACAAATCAACCTAACCTGAAATGTTTGGCATAAGTCTGATCATTAATGAGTCTCCTGCTGTCTCAGACCCTTCACGCTTAATCCTGGCCCACATCACAGTCCTTGCTCTTGTTTGCTGCCAGCTGTAACATTTCCTAGGATGGATTGCTCCTGAGGACTAAGCACATTATCTCCCTTGACTTCTGGCTAACTTGTGTGGCTAACTTTGCAAGATCATGAATGTACATACTCGTTTGGTGTGCTTTAAATGAGGTCGGTCCATCTGCAGACTCCATTGTTCGCTGGGCCAGCATCACTCTCTCCATTAATTTAATAGGCTAGTGATACATCCCAGCTCAGTTATTTAAACAAAAGACCACATGACTCTGGCTTCATCTAATCACATGAGAAAAAATATTGTCAAAAAAATTGAAAATGTTCAGAATAAACATTTTCAGAATAAACATGGTTTCCTTCCAGAAACCAAAGGACAGAGAATTAGTTGCCTGTCACTGCCCTTGGAAACCGCAAGCAGCTGAAAATCAAGGGAAGGGATATTTCAGGACACCATCGACCTTACACTGCCCACATAGAAAGGAACGAATCTTCTCAAGTATATTTCATCCCGACTCAACAGCCCCAACTCTGAGCCCAAATGAAAACTACTGGTGTACCAAAATCTCACCCTTTGCCCCCAGCACTGTCCCTTGAATGTGAGTTTAAACAATGAGCCAGCGGCACTTGAAGGCCTCAGGGTCTTGATCTACATTCCAGTTACTCGGGGCAAGTTTCGGTTCGATCTGTCAAGAAGTGGCAAAAATAAATTTCCAGCATGAAACTGAACGGAGGTCCCCGCTGCTGTTGACTGCGCCCATCCCCCCCAAATATTTGGGGTACCGATATCTATAGTGCAGGGGGACGGGTATGGAGTCTGGCAGCTCCTGCTCTTCTGGTGGTTCTGCCAAGGGCCTTCCACACCCTTGGGCCCCACTTCTCTCCCCCTCTTCCAGCCCTTCTCCTCCTCTCCCCCTCTTCCAGCCCTTCTCCTCCTCTCCCCCTCGCCCCCACCTGTCAGGGAGGTGTCCCGCCGCTGCCTGGGGATGCCCTCTGCCCTCGCTCTGGCTCACGCAGCCACTGGGGAGCGAGGGGCCGGGCCTGGGGGTCTCAGAGGCGGGGTGATTAGCTGCTGTCCGGCGCGGGCGCTGCGGGGCTGGGCAGGGGCCGGTCGGCGCAGAGCAAAGGACCCTGCAGGGAGCTGCGGAGGGGCTGGAGGGCCAGTGCGTAGCTGGGGGCAGCGCCCGCCCTCCGGCCCCTCGCAGCTCCGGGCCGGGCGCTGCGCCGAGCCCGGGTTACAGCAGATCTGCCGGTCCAGACACCCGCCCCCCTCCACCACCTCAGCGCTCCCCTTCCAC